CCCCCCACATTCCATCCCCTGTCCCGGAACAATTCCACTTCCAGATTATCCCCACGCCTTCCAGACTCGAGCAAACAAACAACCCGCGAAAAGAAAGAAGTGTCCAACATACAATTCTTTTTTCTAAATGACCCGCTCAACATGTGGCCAAATCCCTGTGTAGTCACATGTTTACTGTTTCAAAAACCCCAAACAATCATTTCACGCACGGTGTGAAATCTTAAGAAATAAGCATCCCTCTAATAAATATTTCTCGAGGAAAGTTTCCCCAAATATCTCCCGATCGTCTTTAATCTTAAATGCATTTCTCTGACGTCAATAAACCTAGATTTAATAGAGTAATAAAGCAGTTCCGATTTCCTCAAAGAAACAGAAAAGCAGGCACATTTAATTTCATGCTACAAAACCTTCAATGCTCGCCCCTTGCGGTGTCCATCTCTCTGTACTTGTCCAATCTTCCAGACCGTCTTCCACCTCAGTCACATTCATTCCCCCCCTCCTTCCATCCCTCCTTCCCTCCAGCTCCTCTCTTTGAGCTTCTGAAAATCTACGGAATTTGTTTAACAAATCTCGACCTAATGCAATTCAAATTACTTGAATCCAGTAATCATGTATTTTCTTTAAAAAAATGTGATGGATTTCCTGGATTCTTCAAAGCTAATATACTCAATTTATTAAAGCTAAAACTTTATTTGGTTCATATTTGTCTCGTTCATGACATCTGCTATAGAGGGGTTGGAGGGTGCTGCGGTGCGGTTCGCTTCTTTTACTTCTTCTTGTTCTTGGAAATACCGAGTTTGCTCAATCCTTAATGAGTTTAGTATGTTACCAGTCTTATCGAATCAGAAAGGATTTCTGAATTAATTTTCTTGTGTTTCCTGTTATAGTTGGCAGCTGTCAACTCGGCTGTCTAATTGAGCAGAACAATGTCAATAACAACAGCAGCAAACAACAACAACAACAACAACAACACAACACAACAACAACAACAGCAACAGCACATGAACAACACCACGACCACCACCACCACCGACAACAACAACAACAACAAAATGAACAACAGCAACAACAACAATAACAACAACATGAACACCAACAGCAACAACAGCAACAACAGCAACAGTAGCAACAACAACAACAACAACAACAACAACAACAACAAGACAAAGCTGGAGCACGTCTGCCACGAGAAACTCTTGTGGATCGATTTGTAATAATAAAGGGGGCCCTTTATGCCTGTAAAATAGAAGCATTTATTGCGAATTCTTGTCGAAACACGAAACGATACTTGTTTGCTCAACGAAACAAAACGACAACCCGAATTGGCCACCCATTAGGCCCTTTGTTTTTACCTTGGCGTGAAACGAAATAAAAATTTGAGTTTGTGTTTTGGAACATGCGAGAGACATTTAAAAAACTGAATTTTTTCTCCAGTTTTACATGAAAGGATTTCAAAAGCGGTTTACATTGGATTGTACAAAGTAATCGATTTAAAGTTATAGGTTTTATAAATGAAGGAACTTCATTACA